CTCCAAGGCGCGTTCCCGAGGGGCCGGGGCCGCGCGCAACCTTTGGGGCCGCCGGGAGTCGGGCGCAGTGGGCGTGGCCTGAGCGCAGCCCCGGAGAGACGCAGGGCGGGGCTGCTGGGGACCGGGCGACGCCCCCAGGGCCCAAGGCCAGGGCCGGTGTGGAAAGATGATCCCTGTTCGCAGAGTTCTGGTTCCTTCGCCTATTTCAAAGGGACGTTTTATGGGGTGAAAACGAAAACCCTGTGGCCCAACGAAGCTCCCCCTTATGCTTAACCTCAACGGAGAGCCCAAGGCGCTGCGGGTACTTTGGTTTGCTGTGGGTCCGGGGCGCCTTTTTCTTTACTTAGAAAAAAATTTTATCAGTATGTTTGCTATGCACCATGAACACATTGCTCGTGGGGACTGGGACAGGTGCCTGACACGTCTTATCCTTGTTGCTTCCCTCCCCCTCCGTCCCTTCTCCCTACAGCCCTTCCCTTTTGCGCGGGCCTCCTGAAGGGCGCAGATTTCAGACCCCGCTGCAGGCCCGGGGGAGCGCTGCGCTCGGGGCCCGCCTGCCCTTTGGGGATCTGGGGCCCTGGGTTCCCCTTCTCCGGACCTCAATTTCCCCATCCGAGTGGAGGGGAGCGGCTCTTTAAAGTCCCTTCCATCCCATAGGCACTATCTCATTCCGCACACCACGCCGTCAGTGGGCTGAGTGGGCGCGTAAGGACTGCGTACAGCACTTTATTTATGGGGAACAAGAGTTGGTCGGTAGCCTGTGATGGCAGCTCCTCAGGAAACCGAAGCAGGAGGATCTAAAATTGGAGGCCAGCTGGGCAAGAAACTATCTCAAAATAAAAAGTGCTGGGGGATGTAGGTCAGTGGTAGAACACTTACCTAGCATGTTCGAGGCCCTGCGTTTAATCCTCAGCATCAAAACAGAGGGATTGATATATGATGTTCTGGCTTCCTCACCTCTCCGGCAAATCTGCTAGGAGGCCTATAAAGCTGTATTTCAGATGTTGTCTGCAGGACACAGCTCCAGTTGTCACCGCTGTAACTTGCAGGTCAACGCACCTTCTCTTGGCTTCCCCTGTCCCTGACTCTCTACTCACTCCTCCACAGATGTTTCTTGGGATGATCTCCCAAATGAGCCACCTGTCCTTGTACCAGGGACACCTTTTGGGGGAGCTGGACAGGGCAATTCTAAAACTTTTACAAAATTCAAATTACCAGGAATAGTAAAGGCATGCTGAAGAAGAAAGCTGGAAGACTCACACACAGAGACCAAGAATGAGAAGAAATATATTTTTAACTATGAACTATAGGAATTAAGGGAGTGGGGTGTTGCAGAAATGAATCAGTGTAAAGACATGCACATACATATGGTGACCTGGCTTTATAACAAAGATGACACTGCAGATAAATAGGGCAAAGGATGCCCTTTCTGATAGATGAGCTGGGTCAGTGACTTATAACAAAGGTGACATCACATATAGAAAACAAAATTAATCCTGATCCCACGATGCAATATACATAAAAGTCAGTTATAGGTGCATTATGATCTAATGCTTCTAAAGACAAAAGGCAAAGCAGTAAAGGTAAAAGATAAAGTCATAAGGTAAAGCAAGAAAACAAGAGTACAAAAAATCAGGAATAAAGTTTTGATGAACCGGCAACCTTGAAATTAAGAACCTTCACTTAATTTTGAAAAGGAAAGCCATAAACTGGGATAAGATGTCTGATATATACAGATATAAAGATATATGACAAAAACTCATCTGCCATATAGAAGAAATTTAAAAATTTTTGAAAACTGTCAAGCTCACTAACAAAAGAAGTATGATTTGGGTATTA